TTTCTGGTGTTTTCAAATTTAATTAAAACAATAGTAAAACTTATCCATCATTTCCTTTTTTAGTATTACGTTGACTATACAAACCTTAAAGGTGACAAGACAATTATTCGAAATGTGTGACAGAGTGTAAACTATATGCCACAGTTGCAGTGTGGCTTTATTAGTTTTGTTGCTAATGGCATTGGCATTTGCAGCGACATCTCAAAACTCAGTAAAAGCTAATACTTGTGCACTAGCAGCCTGTTCTAAGTAATGTGGCATTGACGATTTCAGGAAAGTGTCTTATTAAAACTTTGCAACAGGAATGAGAAAGAAGAAGATATGAGAGTTATGCTGCTTCTTTCAAATAAGATGTCTTCAACAAGAATGTCCCAATTGTGCTAATATAGTGTGTCAGTATCTATAGAAACGTTCATTCCAAAAGTTCCTATAGGCATCACTGAAAAAAATACTTAATGAAGGCAGATGGTGGTATTTGAGTTTGTGACCTCTTTGTTTTGTTACTTTGTTTTCTTTTGGGGGAGAAAAATTTCTTGTCCATTATCCTGCTGATAGAAGTAATACCTAAGACCTCAGTAAATTAATTAACCTAGAATATTGATAATTTTTCTCTCACTTTTTGCTTAATTTCTTTTAGTGAGATGCACATACCAGTGAAAGTAATGAGAATATTGCTACTGATTTAAATAAAAAAATATGTTCAGGAACATTTTGCATTAAACAATGGTATATCATATCATTAGGTTTATTCTTTCCCTGGGAAACTCAATTTATTAGTTATCTTCTCCTGCCAGTGTGGGTCTTACAGCCAGTGACAGGAACAATGGCAAAAATACAGTGATAAATCCATAAAAATTGGCAGAGGTGTGCAGATGCAATTAAATTATTCCAGCTCTTTAAAACAGAATCTGATCCAATATCAGGTTGTCAGTTTGTGTAATCAGTTTCCAGGTTTTTTTAAAATGTCTGCAGTCTTAATCCATAGGTCTGATCCAACTAAGTAAATGGAAAGATACCCACAGATTTTAGTGTGCTTTGTATCAAGTCCTCATTACTTTATATAAAGTTCTAGGAGTAGTCATCTCCAAAGCAGATGTTGAGAATGAAACTCCAACTCACTTCAGAATATAAGAAATGTATTATTTTCTCTATTTTATGAAACTGCATGCCATTGGGCAATGTACCATCTTTCTTCTAAAGGATAGAGATAAATTTCTAAATCAAATTTTTATTTCCAGTGGTTCCAGTACTTACCACGTCTGTATATGTTATGATCTTAGCTGAATTTATCACATACAGGAATGAACTTGCATGACTGACAGCAGAATTAACACTTGGGAAGAACTGAAAGTGATGGCTTCTTCACTGAAAGACTCAAAGAGAAATGCTAAGTTATTGTTCTCCTGATTTCTTCTCAGCACTTATAACTGCTACTCTGAGAAATATTTTACTATTTTATAAGGCTAGTCTGCCACCAGAAAGTAGGGAATGTCAGATGATAAGCCCATAGATACAAGACTTTGGCTGTACAGTTATATGAAGGATCTGTTTGAAGAGATCAGAAATAATTGATGAATGCTGGAAATTGCTGTGAGAGCTGGTATTTTATAACCACTGTAAGGATTAGCACACGTTTCCTGTAAGAATAAAAACAACATAAATTACATCTCAATAATGAAATGGGATAACCTATGAAAGATATATGTTTGCTTATTTATATGTATACGCACGTATGTATGTGCATATATGTGTGTATATATATAAAGCAGCAGGGTAGAAATGGAGAACAAGTAAGTGTAAGTGATTTTTCCCCATTGTGTAAAGTATAATTTTACTATTGTTCTGCAGTTGGACTAGCTGCAGTTGGAGTAGGTAAGAGCTTTCCTTAAAAGTGGAATAAGGTAAAAATGTGATATATGTACGTTACATTACGTCTCTACAGTCTATCTTACATTTATATGGAATATCGTAACATATAGATGGTATACACATAATAGGCATATATAGCATAAAAATAATGGTTCCTGAAAATAATATGCTGGAAGCCATCTGTGCTTCTCTATGAGACATTTATCTGACATACTTCGCTTCCTGGAAAGCAGTCATTTTGCATATTTGTATACAGTTTTACTGCAGAAGGTTTTTATTGTGACAAAGCTGGCTAGCATTCAAGCACCCATCAGAAGCAGGCTGCTTCTGCTAGGAGAGGAAAAGAAAGCAAGATGCATATTTAACTCCTCATTCTAAGCAAAACTTTATGCAGAGATGGACTATGGACTGTCTCAGCAGCTTCACAGGAGAAGCTGGGTGCCAGGGTTTCACAGCGCCTGTTGTGGTCTTGTTTGAGCAGGAGCAAATGGTCTCTAGGACACAGAAGCAACTCTCCGGTGTATCCCAGCAATGGTCAATTCTTTGGTGTGGGTGTCATGGCTCTGTCTTTTCTCATACCTCCCACCATCACATATAATCTTGCTCTGTCAGGACAACAGAGTGCCTGCACCAGGTGGACCCCAGGAGCCACTAATATGAGGGTCTTATCAAACCACGAGAATGAAGAGTAAGAGCCCAGTTCTTCAAAGATGTGTTTGAGTCACTGACTGGTCCAAAATTCTTGTTTGCAATTCTCTCACACGACTTTTGCTGTTCATTTTTGCTTGGTTCCAGTTAAATTCTGCACATTTTCATACACTTCCTATCAGAGGTGTAACGGTTTCTAGGAAGCAGCTGGCAGCAAAGGTCAGCCATCTGCCTGGTGGCCATGGAAGTGGCTGATGCTGTATAAACAGAAAAGAGCAGCAAACACACTGAAGATGAGGTTTTCCTGAGGGACTAAAGTAGTCAGATATCAGTAAGACAAAAATGCTCTAAATAGCTGGAGAACACCAAGAATAAGGATTTGGACCATGAGGGGTGAAGGGTCAAGTGCCTAACACCTGGGTAAGGGAGGAAAAGACTAAAGAATAGAAGACTTTTAAAGGGATGTAACCAGTGAAGAGGAACTTCAGAAATTCATTTACTGCACGGAACAAATCTTCAGAATTCAAAACGAATTTTAAAGCATGACTTCTCCAAGGAAGTAAGTGACCTGTTTTAACAGGAATGGAAACTGCATGTTCCCCAGTAGGAGAGAAAATGGCAAAACATTTCAATACAACACAGTTCTAAAAAACAATGGATAGTACGAGAAAATTTCAGCTATGCTGGGTGACCAAACTCTAGTAATTTTTCATTCCACTTGCAGGGGTGGAGCAACCAGTAAATGAAATGAAAAACACTATGAAAAGTATTCACTGATATAAAATATTGCCATCTGAACTGTGTTTTGCTGTTAACAGTTCCATTTTGTATAGATTAATTCAGGCATCTTCCTTAATTTATAGTATTTAAGAACCAGGATACACAGTAAAAGTAGAATTCACTTAATTGCAATTTAATTGAAATAGATTCTTCTGAGTTCCTCTGGAAGATGGGAATGCTGGAACATAAGTAAGGATTACTGTAAGGGATAACATACTAGAAAAAGGTGAGACAAGCAAAATGAAACTTAGTATACCAAATTTCATATGCTAGTAAAAGTTGTTTTCCAACTATTCTTTTGAGGAAAGCAGTTGCAAAGCATAACAAGGAATGAAAATGTAACATAATACACTACCTGGAAAGGATCATTTAAATATCTGAGCTATTACTAAACAGTAGCAGACTGCTTAATAGTATGTAATTCTCAAGCCATAACAGTTTTAATATATTATTGAGGTGAAGGGGTGAGTCCTGTTGCTACTAAGATACACTATGTTTATGTACTGTATGCAAATCCAGAGAAGCTTTTTAGGCGATTTTTCTGTTCATGTAAAACAACTGCCTGAAGTTAATAAGATTGTTTGTAAAGAAATGTATCTGATATCTAATACAGTGGAGTTTCTTTTTGGTTGTAGTTTTTTTTTTTTTGGTAAAGATGTGTATAGCTGGATGCCAAATATGCTTACTGGCTTTTTGTTATTTGTGTCCTACTTCGCCTTTCACCTTTCTGTATCATCCTGAAATCTCCTGGGTAGGCTTGGCAGTTTGGTTATGTATCATGTGTCTATTGAAAATATTACCTGCCCTCTCTGTTACTGGAATGTTTGATGTTGCTTCTATTATTGCTTTTAAAATGAGTGGTTTTCCCTATTAAAGTCCATATAGAGTTGAATATCAAATAATAGCATTTTCTCCTCAACCCTGCTTTTTTTGGGTAGATTTAGAGTTTTTTCCAAAGGGCGATACATCTAATACCTTTATGAGAGAACTTAGCTTGAATGCAAGAGACATTTCCTAAAAAAAAAACCCAAAACAAAACCCAAACAAAACTTTCTAGGTTTCTAGCAGTTTCCACAAAATGCGCCTGATTTCAGCCTTCTTAAATTATGAAAATATGTACCATAAGGCTTTGTTTAGAAAAACTGAGATGGTAGCCAGATTGCTGGAAGAAACATAAAAATATTAATGATTGAGTTCTGCCTGGCTCCCACATTCTCACTTCCTGAATCAGTGTAGCTGAGACATATCATAAGGATGACACATATTGACTCTGGGGAGGGAGCAGCAATTATTTGCCTTATTATATTCCATGTCAGGCATGTAATAGAGCAATACTGTGCCAACCAGCAAAAGAAGAAATTTCTAGCTTGTCTGTCCTTCAGCTTGAAGGACCATTGTGCATACTTCTCAGAGATGGATATATATTTAGAAACTAGGACCTCACTGCAAAGAAGAACAAAAATATTGGGATGTCCCTCTGGATTCTACTTTGAAGCAAGACAAAATACCAGGAAGTATAAACAGTGCTCAGTTTCCATATTAATGTCCTTGCAAGGAAGTGGCTATGATTCACCAGCTCCAGAAAAACTACTGTGATTGTAGTGTTGTGTAGTCTTTCACCCACAAGGTAAAGCAAAGGTGTTTTAATTTTTTTAGTCATTGTCAAGTGTCTGTACATGTTACTTCTGTTGTTTATTTCATAGATCTATTTGCGATTCTTGGACTACGAAATGCAGAATTCCAATGAATGCAAAAGGAATTTTGTAGCTGTCTATGATGGAAGTAGCTCCGTGGAGGATTTGAAAGCAAAATTTTGCAGCACTGTTGCTAATGATGTAATGCTGCGGACAGGTCTTGGTGTAATCCGCATGTGGGCAGATGAAGGCAGTCGAAGCAGCCGATTCCAGATGCTCTTCACATCCTTCCAAGAACGTAAGATCCTAATCAATGCATCCATCTCTCAGTTTGATAAATGATAGAAGTCCCCAAAGCTGTTAAATTTTTCTTCATGCAGAGTAATCACTGAAGACTGTTCCCAAACAAGCCATGCAAGTATTCAGAACAGGTTTTATTCCAAGCATTTATAGTGTGTAATAATTTGTAATGCAGTATATAAAGCAAAGAATTCAGAGACAGAAAACCAGATACAAGTAGTCATGACCCATCCAGTTGTATGACCACAACTTTTATCTGATCCCTAAGCTACCAGGCTGCTATGTCTCAGTTTTCCCTTACACAACATGGAAAATAATACAGTTCTGAAAGTTTTTGTCAAGCCAGAACCTTTTCTATGAATTTGATTTTTAGAACTCATTATGATGGGCATTTGAAAAGTACTTTATAATTACTTTATCACAGATGGTGGATGTATCTGTGCATGTTCCAAAATGCATATATAATAATAAACATATAGGTATGATATCATTAAGCAAAGAATTTTTTTTTTTTTTTTGTAGTAATAGAAGTTTTCCAAAGTCTTACATGATATTTTGGTTAATACTCTATATGCCTTGCTTGCATTCATGTGTTTATGATTTCTGCACTCAGGTAACAAGCAAAACAGCCTTTGAAAGAAACAAAACATAGTTCTAGCCAGTTCAAAACAAACAAACATACAAACAAATCACAGAAAACTCTCAACAAACCCCAATAATTCTATTCACTGAAAAAGATTGACACAGGTTATCACCTGTGAAAGATACCGATTTGTTTTCTTTGATGAAAATAATGCATATCTGGTCTCTTGAGGAACAACTATGCACACTAATTTTCACATGCTGATTCATGTTCATTTTTAATGCATTTTTTGGCTTGTGCATGATGTGTCTGACACAAAGATTCCTGTGCGGCTGTCAGTGGTTGGAATGAAGGCACAATCCTACCAAACACATCCTTCATCTGTATTCTGTGTGTGTATACCCTGCAATAAGGCAATGAGACTGTTGAGAACAGCCTCTGTAATTCCTTAATTATGGCTCTGATTAAAAATTTCTGACAGTCTACATGCCTGAAACTGCATACGCTGCTGTACTTTCACACTGCAGCTTTAGGGTGTATTACATTTTTCTTGTCTGTAAATCAGGCCAGGGTCTAAAAGATATTGAGAACCCTCAGCTGAGATGATACTGCCCTTTTCTCATTTCTGCAACTGGAGATGTCTTGAATATTCAAGATCTGATTCATTTTTTTCACAAGGCATCCTGATCTGTTACCTTAGAAACAACTGCATAGACACTGGAGGTTTACAACATTTAAAGAACTGGGGAGTGAAACACTGGATGACTAACTTGAAATGAAGGTTTGCATAAGTATGTGTTTGCAAGGCTTTCATATTTTAAATGAAAGTAAGGAAAATGTTTTTTGTTTTGGTTTTGGGTTTTTTTTTTTTTCTGTTATAGTATTCCTAATATGTTTACCTGACATCCGACATCTTATGAGCTATTCCATTCTTCTAAAGAGATGACAGTTAGTATAAAATAACATCATGGTATTCTTACTGGGAAGTTGAAAATATGAATATGATGTTTTTCTGTAAATTTATTCTGATCAGTCATTGCACATTAAAAGCTGAAAATTTATTAAGGGTTAAAATGTGCTTTAAGATACGTATACACAGCCTGCTCATAAATAGTAGAAGAAACTGTGTCTGAGGTTTTAATGCTGGAAGCTGACTTTAATGATTTAAAGGTGGTGCAGATTGTACTTTCTGTGCCATGTCAGTTGTCTGTAAGTGCTGCCCTATGCTGCAGACTGGTGCTGGCTGTCAGGAGTCAGCTAGAGCAGATGCTGGTGTGTGCGCTGCAAAACACTGCTCATAGACTGCAAACTGCAATGTCTTTCAGCAGCATATGGGAATAATTAGATCATCTGCATGGAAGAGAAAGAATGTCAGACCTCATTCAGGGATATGTGCATCAGGGAACAGACACCTGTGTCTCTACTCAGGGACAAATAAAGAGGAAGAAAGCTGTTTTGTTCATCTAGAGATGAGAAAAGAAAAAAAAGATGACATTTATGTTGTGGTTGTGTGCATGGGAAAAAGTGACAAAGTTTCTGTATTTACTGTTGCTGTTCTGACTAGGAGGTGTTGTGATCTGTAGCTCCCCAAGTCCCTCTCCTTAGTGTGGAGTTGTCAAGACTCAGCTTCCTTAGCAAGGCACTGTGCACCAGCAGTGGGTTTTTTTTGTGGAAACTGGCTATTTAGCCTGGGGAATGCTTTCATTCTGTGCAAGTCTGTTGAGCATTAATTCTTGTTACAAAGCCATTTTCCTGGGGACTTGACATCTGTGTAGAAAAGAGTTCTCTTATATGATTTTCATAGTTTGATTTGTGTATTCCAATTACATTTGATATATAGATGGGGTTTTGGGGGGGTATCTAAAATGTGGTCTTACAAGTTTCCAAATCTCTAGCAGTGACGTTCTGCAGAGCAGCAATGTAATAAATGTCTGAAGGAAAGGCATACAATGCAGGAAGTTAAATTTTCTATGCCAGAAAATTAGTAATCATTCTCACATGATCAGAATAGTAGTAGATCTCTAAGTAAAGCTTAATAACCAATTAATTCTTAATCGTTGATAATTTAGGGTAATGATCTTATAATTTGCGATCATCATTATGAGTTTCCAACTACCATTTTGAGGTTTGTCTGCTTGTGTCTTTACCTTTTTGGTGTTTAATATATCTTCTAAAGCATACATATCTAATAATAATTTTGTGTATGGTAGTTACTGTCTACAATAGATTTTAAATATCCAAGAAATTAATTTAAGAATCAGAAAAAGGAAACCAAGAAATCTGGTATCATCAAAAGGTGTCTCTTCATCTGGTAAGAAGACTTACAAAATGTGGCTTTGTTTTTTCATCCACTTACTAACTGTTCATTTCATTTTCCATGACTGTGAGAGTAATCGCCAGCCTGATTAATGACAGACATTTTACACCTACCGCTTCTTCAAGGAGCTGCTGCTGAGCAGACACACCTACGCTTTAACCTAAAAGCAGATTTGTAGAACCAGGGCATATGAGATAAGAGTAAATCCCCCTGTATGCACAGCAGGCAAAATGTTTGTTCTCTTGCTTCTCACTGCTGTGTGGTTGCACTGTTTCTTCCTCCCTGCGTAACTGTATATCACAAATCCCAGATGAGAAAAATATCATTCCTTCTTTTATTTTGTTTCCCCTTTGAGCTCTAAGCACGTTTTTAAAGCCCTGTTCATGTGGCTTTCCTAACAAAGCACAAGTTCTATCATTCTGGTTTTCTTTTTATTAACAAAACTCATATTTGGATAGAAATCCAGGGCCATTTTAGAAGAGTAGTGCACAGTTTTACTGAGAAACAGTATTCAAGTCCTTGTTTACAGCCGTAATCCCTGAAGATGATCACCCCAGCATGGGCAATTCTCTAATGGGGAAAAGGCACTGTAGGTATGCAGTATTAATAATTGTGTCTATTGTGGTAATGCAAAAGAAACTACTGAAATAGGGAACAACAAAGTGATAAGTGCAACACAAGTGAAGAGCTGGTTTCCCTTTGCACTCCCTTTAGGAGCATAAATAGATTGCAGTTTTGGTGGTTTTGCTCTCTGCTTCTACACTAATATATAAAAAAGAAAATACTGAGATTGCCACTGGTGAGCACTTGTCTGTGATTTTCTTCTCCTCTGTGCTGTTTGCAGTTCTCTTTAGTGAATATCTATCTCTTCACTGGCTAAGCATCTCAAAGGCTCTCTGGCCCTGAACAAAATTAACTGCATAAACTGAACACAGACTGGAGCTCTGAACATATGCTCCTGAGCTGCCATTATTTTTTGAGTTTGTATCTCAAAATAAAGCGAAGATTTTTTTTTTTAAAGACTAGATTATCAATGTGTATCTAGCATTACCTATCCATAAAAGTTACATTTACCTTGAACAGAGCTGTCTGAAGGTGACTGAGAAAAAAATTCAATATTAAGCACATTTCATTTTCAAGTTTCTGATAGATGTATTTTAATATTTTGGGTTGGTTTTTTTTTCATTAGTGGCAAGTGAAAATAGAAGTAATTTTACTTTAGGTAATATACTTGTGGTGTACAGTACTAAAACCACTTTAATAATTTAATAATGTTAATAAAGCAAGTGAAACAGTCTTTCAGCATGACTAATGGACTGTTCCTTGGAGAAAACTTATGTTTCAAGGATGATTCAAGAAATGTTTGAAGAATTTCATTTGTCTTTCTCTTGTTAAAGAAAGCAAGTTCTACATTTCAGCAACAAACAGTGGGAAAATCAAAATGATCTATACATAAAGAATTCATGTGCAGAGCATAATTCAGTGAGCAATCCTGAGTGCGTGAGGAGTAGGTGTGAAATGTCTGAGTTCAATGTAAAATATTTCTTACATCTAACCATTGTTCAGATTTCAGAAACTTCCCATTCACCCTCAGGAGAAAGCAAGACCTCTCAAAAATGTTATGACAAGAAGGGAAGCGGGGCGGAGGGGGATGACGGAAGTCTAAAAATAGCAAGTAAGATAGTGCATTCATTTAAGATTAAGGAGTCCTGACTGAAATCCTTGTCTTGAAACAGACTTAAAGGGTGAATGCATACTGTTCAATGAAGTATGACATAGACACCCAAGCTAGCTTGCTCAGGAAAGGAGAGGAGTTGTGCTAACTCTGCACAGTGCTGAGAAACAGTGCAAATACACTGGGAAAAGCACTGCACCCAGGTGGAACTGCCAGGCTTCCCACCAGGTCCATATCAAGTCAGCTTTTAACTTCATGTTGTAAAAATATTTTGACCTGGTCATGTTTGCGTTTTATAGAAGTATAAAATTTGCCCCCAGAAATGATGCTCAACACACATGGATAATGCGTTTTGTTATTAATGTCATAACATCACAACAGTATAAAAAATATTTGCAACACTCAATATTTAATTGCTATAGT